CCTCTTTATAAAACTGATTTTTGAGCCACGTGCTGTAGTAAATATTTCTGATGATGTTCAGAATTTCCACTGACACATTATTAAACTGTACTAAAACTGTAGGATCCCAGAAAAAGCTCATAGATGAACACATGGAGAATTATCTCAGAATCCTTCCAGGGAGCTGTTTCAAGTATGTTCTTCCTGGGCCTCCATCTTCTGGAGCTTTGAAGGAAAACACTGTAAATGGAGATGGCAGCATGAGGTCTAACGGCAGGGTGGCTGTGCATAGCGTGGTTGCAGTCCATAACAAATTCAGCCAACGTGGGCAAAACAAAAGGGACAACTTGTCATCCACTCATGAAGGGGTACTGTTGGCTCAAGCAGTGTCTGAAAACCTCTGTGCTTAAAAAAGTCAAGGGAGGAGAAAGCCCAGAACTGACCCAACCCATCAGTTACAGTGCTGCTCTTCCCTGGCCAGATGAGACTACTCAACATTGGTGTGGAAAATAGATGTTCCTCATAGCTGAAAATGGTCGGACAATTCAGGGATGAAAAAGCCAGCACAGCCTGGCCATAAGCTGAAAACAGCGGTGTAATGCTGTCACACCTGTGGTGGGTGTGAATAACTCTAACAATGTCCCTTTGAACTTTTCCCTGAATCCTGTCCATGGCGCAAATTAAAACAAAGGCAACCAGGTGCAATCTGACATGGATGTAGAGTTCACAGGAATTTGTCAACAGGATACTTTTATTCAGTTCTGATAGCACTGCAGTTACTCTTCCACTGCTCTTGTTCTGAGCGTGGGCTGCTTCCTTGGACTGGAGGATTAAAATATTGTAGTAACATCTTTACGTAATAGAAAAAGGGGAGACGCTTAAGTATGGCTTTAGATTTCTCTATAGTTGCTTCTGATGAAGACTTTGGAAGAGCATACTTTCAAGTCTAGAAAGTAATTAATTTCTTTAAGTATACTGAAATTGTTCAAAAAAATGTGTTCTACATGAGTAACCTTTGTGATGGAATTGGGTTTTTTCATGTAATGGTCTAATGTTGACCCACATAAGAGGAATTAATGTGCAGACATTACACTTTTTTTGTGTTTGTCAGTGATAAAGAAAAGCACTTAGGGAGAAAATCATAGAAGAAAAACTTTCAGAAATAGTTTTCAGGAGGTACAAAGGAAGAAGTTGTGTGATTAGATTTGACTGAACTTGACACCGCTCTTACTTGAAAAAGATGAGCAGTGACTGTTCACCATGGCCAAAGCTAACTGTGATTGCCTCTGCCAGAACTGCAATCTTGCCAGTCGTGGCTTCTGCTGTTTTTCTGTGAAGCTGCAAAAGAGCTGCGGGGGGGTAGGGGGGAGTTGTTGGTAGAGACTCCTCGAGTCCCAGCGTCGTCTGCCCCTTTCTGGCTCCCGGGTGAAGCGTCTCACCAGCCCCGGGACTCCTCTCGCCATGGGAGTGACCAATACAAGACTTTCTAGTTACTCCCTCAAAATATCACTTTCACTGCCTAATCTGTTAATTACGTGCCTTTTTTGTTAGAGTCGAATTTGGATCAAATTTGGATAAAGACAGCAACCTTTCGTAACTTCTGCTGGAACATCCGTGTCCCAGTGCGTCACAGTGTGTGGGAAGCCACGTGTGATTCTGTATGTGGCTAAAGAACAGCAACGCCTGTTACACAGGGACTTGCTTTTCAGATAAATATGTGTAGAGGGAAGGGAAACTTTCAATAAAATGTGACGTTTCGGATCATCTGTTCAGACGAAAACCTGTTTTTCTCCTCTTAGACAAGGATAAAAGGGACCAGTGAGGATCAGTACCTTTTGGCAAAGTCTGTTTGCTGCTTGCACCTCTAGTGCAGAGGTAAATCCTGCCGTGGAAGTCAAAATTTAAGTTACAAAGGTAAAATACTATTTTAAAATTATGAAGTTGAAATGAGCAAATGAATTTTCAAGAAAGATCAGTTATATTTATACCAAAGATTGACAAGTAGTTTAAAACAATCTGTGTTTGACATGGTAAGTTTTTATCATTAAAATGCTAATGAAGTGGTAAACATCTGTTAAATTTATGAAGATAACGAAGCTTGACAGCTACATCTTTCTTGTGCCAGTATTTCTGCTTAGCTCAGGTCTGCATACAGATTTGGTGGAGTGGTGGTGAGAATCTATTTGACCTGTGGAGCAATGCCAATGTAAAAGTGTGCCCTGTTCTGTTTGATTTGATGATTTTGTCCTGAAGTGCTTCTGTCTGTAGTTTAAGTCATCTTTATCTGATCATTCTTCCAGAGGCTTTCAAAGGTGGGTCTGAAAATCAAACTTCAGTCAAACAGATTAACTGGTATTCGATTGGCAATAGTTGAAGTAGTAAACTGGTGAACAGAAGTGAACAAGTTTCTGTTAATACCTCCACTAATCAGTCTGGTAGGCGTGTATGTTTTCTGTTCTGTACGTACTCCGAATGTATCCTAGTCTACTGATCATCTATATTACTCTGGCAGAAGGTACACCATGGACTGCAAAACTGCAGGCAGATTTCAAATGTCTTTGTCACATGAAATGATTTGTACTTAGCCAAGGAGTACAAAGATTGCATTGGTTGTAGGAGGATACTAATTGTTTTTTAATTTTTAAAACTTTTATGCCAAATGCTTTCTGTACCTTGGTTAAAGACAGCATCAGAAATCTAGCTTAACTCTGATTTTAAATGTCAGTCACAATTTAACTCTATTCTGTTGTATTTTTTCTGTAAAATTTAGTTAAAATATCTAACCGTAGCTTCATTGAAGTATGTATATGTAAAGAGAGGACAAGTCTTTTTTAACTTTATGGATCTTTAATTGCTTATGAACTTCAAAGAGAAACTTGTAGAAGTTAGTTTGATAATGGCATTTGATGGGCTTTAGGTAATTGAATACAGCATAGCTGCTGTTTGAATACATCTCTGAATTCCAAATTATGTAAATCTACTGTTTCAGAACCAGCTAGTAGAAATAATCATCATTTTTGCAATTGAAGATATTTTCTTTGGATAAATCCTCTGACACACTGCTTTCCTATTGATGCATTTTTTTTTTCATTATGGATATGAAGAAGAAACTGTAGGCATGTTAGCCTTTAGCTTTTTGACGTTTGTGACTCCACTTGAATAAGCTTTGACTTACAGTTAATTAAGCACAACTGTCAGTGTGTTTCATGGGCTTATGCAGAAACAAACCTTAGATTTATGAAAGTATTGGGGTAGGAGAAAGGAGAAAATACTCTGGGAAAGTGTCTCAAGCATGTTTTTCCATTCAAGTTGTGCAGCTCGGGGTGGTGTTCAACAGTTCTCTCTCCATAGTTGTCAATGGCCCATCTTTGTGCAGTCATCATGGTTTTCCTGTAGAAAAAAACAGAGAAGAGATTATAGCCTGCTATTCATCTGCTAGACCATAATATAACGTTTACTGTGCTGCAGCTGTGATCAAAATGACTGTCTCCATCATCTACAAAATTTGAGCTCTGGGCTAGTTAGAAGTGTTTGGTCATCCAAAAAATCTGTGCAGCCCGATCTGGCTTCTGAACTCAGCTTCCCTCTTGGATACCATAAGATGGGTTTGAAATTGTGTCCATGGAGGCAGGATGATGAGATAAAAAGGAGGAAAATTTCTACTCTGCCTTCAATTTTGCATGTCATTAACAGGGGGACAGGGAGATCCCTTAATGGAAGACTGGTACTCAGGCAGCCCATATGGATTGCCTGGCATCTTGCAAGTAGATGCAAATGATTTGATTTTATGGGAGAAGAGAGGGAAAATTGCTTGTTTACTTTTCTTCTCCCTCTGCCCCCCCCCGGGGTTTAAAAAGCTCAGATTAGTTCTGTAAGAAAAAGTTTAGGTATTGTGCCAGCTCTGCTTGAGACCAGAGGAAACTCCTAGGAGGACTGTTATGCTCCCAGCTGATGTGCTGGCCACCGGTGAGTGGGAGAGGGAGGTTATTATGGAGAAATCCTGGCAGGGGAAGCAGAGGCAGAGTGTGACTCACCCTCCTTTAGAGGTGTGGGACACTTATGTTCCAGTGCCTGCTCCAGTTGGTGTTGAATTATTTATTCAACTCAGGAAGGAGAAACTGAGATTTTTTTTTTTGCATTTTTTATTTCAGTGAGGGAAATTTTATTTGAAATCTATTTTGTATGATTTGAGAAAAAAAAATACTCCCACAGACATAGCTTGAAGCTGTGTACTGGACACACTATTGTGTGAATAGTGCAGATAGTGAAAAAAAAATATTTGGATGTCTGTGCCTTCCCATTCCCTCAAGGTCTTACTGGGAAATGATTCTCAAGTGTATAAGTAAAAAAAATTTCAGCATGTAGATTTCTGGAAAGCTGCTGTTTGGAGAGAAAGGTCTGGGGTCCAATTAAGAAAACACTAGTTTGCATTGCATGTAAAGAGTTGTGTTTGTTTATGTGCTAGCTGATTATTTAATTGTTGGCTGTTTTCTAATATTTGCTTTGCACTGTAAAACAGAAGGCATTTTTTTAAATGTTAGATGAAATGGTGTTTGTGCAGCACCTGATAGTTACTGTCAGAAGAAGAAAGAATAAACACGCAGCTTGCTATTTGGAAACAAACCTCTGGATTTCAGCTTGCACGTGTTGTTTGTGCTAGCTAATCTAATAGGCAACCATGAATTGCAAAAGCATCTGACTTTCCTGGGTGCCCATCTTGGCCTTTTTGGCATGGAAGATTTTTTCAGCTTTAGAAAGGATTTATTCTACCTGCCAGAGTGATTTATATACCATATGTCTCCTCTTCAGCATCTGAGTATCCATGGCCATAGGGAAGTGTTCTGCCTCATCTGTAGTGTGTGGAAATAGGGGTTTTTTTAATATTAGCTCCTACAGAACCACTTCATTACCTCCCTGTATTATTTTTTTTCTTGGTGGTTGTGTCAGCAAGAGATAGCTATACTGTGTGTGATGTGGAAAGGAGAATACTATGAATTCCTGGTTTTGTTTGCTCTTGGCAGGCACTACTACACTTCCCACCCTCGTGCGCACACCTACGTTGATGATGCAGCCTTCCCTGGATATCAAACCCTTTATGTCCTTCCCTGTGGACAGCAGCTCTGCTGTTGGATTCTTCCCAAATTTTAACACAGTAAGTAAAGGTGTTTCCGCGTTTAGTTTCACTGTATGCTTTCCAAGCCGGTTCTAATATCCAGTTCTGAATCTGCCTTAAAACAGTGCATCGCTGGCACAATTTTAGAGAACCCTTTTTGTCTGTGCTGTGGTGGCTGCTGTTCCCTTGTGCAAAAAACGGAGTGGTACCCAGCCTTCTCGCTGTGAACGGGGACGATCCTTTTCTAACTTGTCTGTTGGAGTGGTGTTTGCACACTGAAAAAAACCCTCATGATAGAGATTTAAAGAGCGATAGAATCATTTTGACCATTTGTCTGGGCACGTGCATTTCCATGTGCTGTAAAAGAGGAAAAAGCAAAAGCTAATGTAAAACCAGGTATGGCAGGTAAGGCCTAGATCCTCCACGGGTGTGAGTCAAGGGAAGTCTGTTACAGCCAGTGAAGCAACTGGAGGATCTTGTTAATTCTGTATAATAACAATAAAGTCTAAAATTGCACAGCCAGCGAATGTGAAAAATGTGAACCTGTTACTTTTAGTTTATGGTAAAGCATCTTAGGTTTTTGCAAAAAAATTACTATTGCAAAAATAATGCTCAATGCTTCTGTAGTTCTCTGTGTTTATCAGAGCAGCAATAACAAAAATACTCTCTTCTGTAGTTTTCACGTCTTTAACAGATCATAAGATGGTCTGAATGTTACCAAAATGCTTTTTGCTATCGCACTTTATAATTTATTTAATGATTATTATCTCAAGTGCATTAAGTACACCAAAACCAGTAGTTTGCATGTTGCCACTCGGGTTTCCATGTGTGGAGGTAATTCAGCATGGAACGAGTTGGCAAATAGTAAGCTAATAGCAACAGGAAGGAAACTGCCCTGGGTCATTTCTGCCAAGTCAGTGAGTACGATCTGTTCGTACGTGACCGTTGCCTGAACTGTACTGCATCACACTTGTCACTGTAATTACGGGGGTGGTGGAAGGGGAAGCAGTGTCACCACTGCCAGACAGTGATCGGCTGAACCACTGCCAAGTGTTTTCTTTTGCAAACTCACCTTCTGTCTGAAGTTAAAACAGCAAGAGGGTTTTGTTTTTCTTCATGACTTGCAAGTACATCTTGCTGACAGGCCTTGTGCTACAGCACGTGGTGCTGTGGGGTGGTTATGAGGTAACATATCAGCCAGCTGATGACAGTAGCCCAACGCATATTATAAACAGTAGCAAATACTACTAATTCATTGCAGAACATACATGTGAAAATTGCGCTTTTACGAGAGAGATGTGAGGATGTGCATACGTATAGATTGGGGGAGTACGTGTATGTGTACAAAGAAATAAAAGATTAAAAAAAAATCCAGGTATGTTTAAAGTGCAGGACCGAAACTCAGTACAATTTTAAGAAAGCAGCGTGTCATTTTCATCTTCTAGGCATGATGCAATTTATATTCATTTTCCATCCTCTTTCTAATACATTTGAGAATTTTACTTATTATTGATTTGTCTGCTTTCCAGTTGTACTGGTTGTGTAGGTGAGCTTTTTCACAGAAAAAGACTTAGAGAACCTTTTCTTTAGGGATACTGTAGTCAACCAACATTATTTGCTTACTGGTGGTATTATTGAATTTTTGAGTTGCAGTAGCCTCTAGTGACAGATTAATTTGGATATTTAGACTGGTTTTGCCTATGTACACTAGCTTACATTTATCTGGGTTACATTCTGTTTGCCTGATTCCCGGAATGTTTATCCTTCACACCTGTCATTCCTCTCCAAACTTCTACAGGTTTTATTAAAAAAAAAAAAAAAAAAAAAAAAAAAGAGGCCTGAGGTAATCGGCAAATATTGTCAACTCAGTGTCTGCTTCCTCCCTTGGAATTCTTGATAATTATAGAAAATCATGCTGCTATGCACCGCAGACACCGCATGTTTAAACTCTCTGTTTTGAGGAACAGTGGTTCAGTACTACTCTATTTCTAAGTCACAGACTTTGCCATTTATCTTGCAGGTATTGATTTTCCCTAACAGTCTCTTACAATGGACTTCAAAGCTCATTGGAAAACTAAATCATTCATAGTTATCTACTGACAGGCACAGTGAACGCCCGCTGTCACACACCTCCTTTCTTTCTAACTTAGCACAACATTTGCAAATGTAGACGTCTATGTTTGTGTATATATAATTTTTTTTTCTTTTTCACTGTAAAGTCTGTGTGTGTATGTAAAAGTTTGTAAAAAGCCTTTTTCCAGAGAAAAGTTCAAGAAGCTAAATCCAGTTGACCCATAATGTATGCATCATCCAGAGTGCCTTCATCTTTCATCTTGTGCAGAAACAGAATATTGGAAGAGTTTTTTGTCCCTTCCCCTCCAAAAAGCCACCATTTGCCTTATGAATCAATCAGGAAATCCACGCACTTCACTCACAAGAGGACCTGTCAAGGACTGCAGACAGTGAAACCTCTGTGTACAGCACTCAATCTCTTTGCCTTCAGTAGGACTGGGGGACCCTGCAGCACCTGCCAGGGCTGCTGTTCGTGCTTGCATGTGTTCACTAAAGGTGGCAAAAAGAAATGTGGTCTCAAGAGAAAACTTCTTTGGATCCACCTGTTCATTTTCAATGGCAGTCAGATATAGAAACATTTTTCTAAACCTTGCCAGGAGGTAGTTTCTAACTTAATTTCAGTGGCCTGAAAAAAGAAAAGTTTCTGCTTAGGAGCTTGATACAGTAACAACCAGGGCAGGAAAAACAAGGTAAAATATATTAAGTACAAACATGTTAAAAGGAATACCCCCTACAGTGTTTCCAAAAGAACTTCTCTTATTTATGGAATTATATTTAAAATCTGGGGTAAACCCTTTCTTATATAGTTAACTTTGACAGTTTTCAATTCTGAAAACATCTGTGATGCTCCAGATGAAACATCAGTGTTCCCATTCCGTTTGTGAAAGTGTTCTGATCAGTTGCTTCTCTCCACATGGGGTACTTTCAAATGAAGCATTGAGCAGACCCCAATTTTGTAAAAAGAAATGCCTACCCCAAGTATCTTATTTTCTTGACAGAATTGTGTGATTTAGTTTAAAATGGCTCCGTTCTGTTTCTCCTAAAAACATTAATAGTTCTAAAAATGCTGTGGACATATGTGTAGTACTTACCAGTTCATGCCCCAGTTACATCTGTCTTTGTTTCTTAGGACTTGCTTATGATATAGGAAAAATAATTAATTGGGGAATTATTGCACTAACTCCTTGGATGCATGCCTCTATTCCTCAGTAAGGCTTTTTGTTTCAACAGATCAGCTAGAAAGGGATCCTCTAAGTGCAGAATGAAGGATTTCAGGCAGACAGGTATTGCAGAATAGGTGCTTTCTTCTTTCCTGGTCTTTTCACAGCACCAGCAAATAGTTTTGTCAGAACAGGACAGGAATGATTTGCTGCACAGAAGGACAAATCCTCTCTCAGAAGTGCTGCAGCAGCGGATCCAAAGGTGACAAGATGTTTGTCCTGGCATCGAGTTCTAAAAGCTTTTGCTCAGTTACTCATACCCTGCTGTCTGAAATGCATAGCTTGAATCAAATTCTCATCTGGTATTACTTTAAATATTCTTGTTTATGGCAGAATGGGAGACAGCATTATAGGAAATTCCCAAACTGGTACCTCCAGTTTGGAATGGATGCTGTACAAAAAGGTATTGTTTAAGCAGAGCCCTTTTTAGCACGCTAAAATGACTTTATGATTCCTTAACATGTAACATCTTGCATATTGATTATATGTAAAGATTTGTAAGCCTTTGAAGTCAATTGCATAAAGTCACTGGAAATCAAAGATTGCACAGTAATCTTAATTTGGTCTCCATTGTAAGTTTAATATAATGTAATCTTGAATTTTACACTTGCTGGCTTTCACCTTCTGTACCATTCCTTCTCTACACCTCCCTGATTCATTCTGTCATGTCGTCCATCTTGTGGACTGAATGAAAAAAGATGTTTTGCGATCACATGATGGAAGGTTATCATGATGCATGTGCTAAAGTGGCTGAAAGTCAGGATTTATCTTGCAAGACAAACTAAATGATCACTGTCTGCATCTCTCTATAAAGCATGTGTATTCCCCAGAAAAAAAACCAAACAAAACCCACAAAATACCAATGCGCTCTACCTTGTCCTGAAATGAGAGCAGCGCTACATGATTCAAATTTAGTTGCAGTGGTACGGCCAGGGACCTGCCAGTCTGCACAAAAGCAGTATCAGCAACTTCTCAGATTCTATCATCAGAGAAAATAATCAGCAATTCATGTGCTTCCTTCTGAGTTTGTTATGGCCTCAGGGGTAATCAAAGATTATAGCATCTCTTGTAGCTTTCACATTAGTGAAGTATTTTCCGTCTAACTAGCCCATGATTGCTTTCTAAATGCTGGTTCATACCTTCATATTTTAGAGGACACACGGGTTAATGTGGCCTAGTTACTGCTTCAGTGTCTATTTTCCTTCAAGTAGGTTTATGCTGATTCTTTATATTAGAGTTCCCCCAGTCCCCTTGCGAAGTGGACCAGAAGTATTCTACATCTGCCAGGGAAGGTGAGCCAGCTGGAATGGGCTGCAGGAAGGGAAAGCGGAGCTGACTCGTAACTTAGAAATCTCTGTCTCTTCTCCAGCGTTAGCCCTGCCTGGACTAAGCATGCCTGGCCTACCCCCAAGACAACTACTGGGAGGAACTAATTTGCTCTTTCCTCTTCTGCATTTTCAATTAAGTCCCTCATTTTTATTTGCTACCTATCTTGTTCTCGTTTGAAGGGCCCAGTAATCAGCCAAGGCAGAAGCGGAGGTCTGCAGATAAGAGCGCAGGGCACTCGTATCGCCGGCTTCCCTCGCCCCTCTGCGCCAAGTGCCTCTTCTGCCTTTGGCACGGTGCCGTGGCTCGTGAGCTTGCCATTTCCTTAGCAGGGTCTGAATTTGGCCGCTTAACGCCCCGCTGCAGTGCCAAAGTACGCTCTGGAGCTCAGGCCTGCATACAGGAGCAGCAAATTACAGA